TTTTGAAAGAAAAATCATTTTTAAAATTTCAGTCAATGATCATTAAATTTAAAAGGGTCAGGTATCAGTGACTCGTGAAGCTAGTTCGCCGGCGGTGATTTCCTGCAGCAAACAAAAGAACGACAAACGGACTAAGGTAAGGAGAGGCAAGTGTTAGGGCAAACAAAAAGTGGCGATGGTGCAATTCTAGTGGTGGTTATTGTTGTGGTTATCGTCAGTTTGAAGGAGAAATCGAAGAAAGGGCGTCACAAAGAGCCAACCGGTTCGTCCTCCCCATATCCCGCGGTTAGAACCGCGCGGGCGCAAAGTGGCCGCAGGGGGTTGGCACTGTTGGCGGTGGTACGGGTTCAACAATGGAGGGCCAAGGTGAAAGTGGGCCCGGCAACGACAGCTGATGGTGTCAGCGCTAGCCATGGTGGGCGCCAGGACAGAGGCCGAGGGCACCGCGACCGGGACGAGGCTCAGCGGCCCGTCCAGGACGAAGAAGGGGCGAGTCGAGAAAGGGGCGGCAAGGCACCACCATCAGGCGGCGCGCCCCAGTGCGGCCAAAGGCAAGGGCGAGGAAGCGGCCAGGGCTGCCGGCGAGCGCCGCGCCCCCGCGGGCCCAGCGGACGCAACAGACAACAGGACCAGTGCGGCCAACCGGGCGGCGGCGGCGGCCAGCAGTGCAGCCAATAACGTGAGCAGCAGGTCGGCGGAGCAGCGCGCCGAGCGGCGGCGGCGCAGGGAGGCGGCCGCGGCCAGCGTCAGCGTCGGGGACGGCGGCGACGCCTCCCGCGCCCGCAACCCCAGCCCTCCGGCGGCGCCGCCCCCGCGGCCCGCCAGTCCCGCCGCCCTGGCGGTGGCCCTCTGGACCCGCCCCCCGCGGCCCGCGTGGGCCCCGCGGCGCAGGCTGCCAGAGAGAGACCAGCTCATCCTCGACATCTGCGCCGACATCGAGTCGTTCCTCGAGGCCATGTGACGGCCAGCCACCCCGCGCCCGCGTCAGCCAACTCGTGATTAGTGGTGTTAGGGTACAACAAACTCACACTCTGTGTTAGGCTCGTGTGCAAAGTGCAGCTGCGCGAGTATACTGTGTTAGAGTCAGCAGTGTTGCTTCTACACCCAAAGGGCCAATAAATTATTGATGGAAATATTTAGACATGTATAGTCTTATCATTGATGTACTGAGCTTGTATGAAATATTGGTCTCACCAACAGAAGCACACCATCTGCCACTTGAACATGGTCAAACTGCAATATATTTCCTGTTTCCCTACTTAAAAAAAATATATAACAAATATCCAAAACCCGGTGGCCTACACAGACCGCAGTTTGAGCGCCCCACTAGGTTCTCAATGCTTACCTCGCTTCCTCAACTTCGGAATTGAGTTTCGCAAAATCTGGTGACTCCTCTCTGTCTCTTGAGATCGGCGTTGAACCCGTATCCGACGTAAGGCGGAAGTTTGGTATTGAATGGCCACTTGCAGCAACTTGGGCGAGGAGGCCTTGAATCACCGGTCCAAACGGGCTACAGAGAAAAATAACAGGTATGATCAATAATGGTTCTTCTACCAAAAAAACAAAAACAAAAAAAAACTGGTCGATTTTTTTTTTAGTTTACTCACGTATTGAGAACCTCGTGAGGTAGGTCTAGGATGTATTTAGGGATTTCTTGGCCTACGAGAAATTGAGCTAATTCGTTGCTAAAGTTATTACAATTATGGTGAAATAATTCATATGTCGAAGCCCTGGAGGGGAAAAAATAATAATACATCAATTACATTTCCACCTGCACTTGCACACCAGACACAGCCACCAAAAGCACGGTTACTCACTTAAAAGTCGACTCGTTGAGTTCTGTAATGTAGTCGAGGAAGGTCTGCTTGGGGATGAATGTGTTCCCCAAATCCAACGTCTTGAGTGGGTTGCCGAGGACTGTGCCGCTCTGCAACAGACACAAACTGCACGTCACCGCGGGGTGATTCACCGGTAGCCCCGTAGCCGGGGGCCAGACAATGGCGGGCACCTTGCCCCGGCAGAGCTCTGCCAACCCCAACCGCACGGCACCGTGTGCACACGTCACTATTGGCACCCCTGGCCGAGTGGGCGGGGGGCGATACCCCGCGCTAGACAGGACTACACAGCCCTACGCCGGGGTCGTCGGTCGTCGGCAGCAGCAGCAGCAGGGGCACGGGTCACCGACACCCCGAGTGAAAGGAGAGAAAGGTCCCTTGGGGCCGGCGGAGTAGAGGGCCGGGCCAGGGCAGGACTATGGGGTTGGAAATTTCCACCACAAAACTTCCAAAGTCTTGGAAATTTTTTATTTTTTCCAGAAAATTTCCCGTTTTGTCCGGAAATTTTCCCGAAACTTTTCAGGGCTTCCAACCCTAGGCAGGACCGGCCCGAGCATGATGAACACACCGACCACACGGGGCCAGCAGAGGCAGGCCCCACCCGGGCCGCCATCTTGCGGGGCAACGCTCCCTGCTGCTGCTGCACCACACGCACGCACGTACGCACACACGCACGCCAGCGACGGCACACGCAAAGTGCGCCGGCAGAGTAATAGTTGCACGCAAGTTACTGCAACTATATTTGGGGCACCGCACCATACAGCCGGCCTGGCGCAGCCGCCAGGATGCACTTCACACGCCGCTGGACGGGCACACACACGGACACACCCACGCACGCACACACGGCACGCACCACAGGCAGAGGAGGCCGGTAAAGCCGCGCGCGGACGGACGCTGAAGGGAGGGTGCTCGTCGACGCCCCGTTCTGCTCTGCGCGGCGAGGAGAGCGCGGCCCGGACGCGGAGAGAGGAGAGGGGACCGCGGCGGCGGCCGCTGCGAGAAGGGGGAAGAGAGGGAGAGAGGGAGGGAAGGGGGTACAGGCAAAAATAGGGGCCGCTCCCGAGCCAAACTTAGAGCGCGTGAGCGTAGTGAGGCGCATTCCATCATGGACACGGGACGCCCCCCGGGGCCAGGCCCGGCCCGGCCCGGCCCGCGCACCTCGGCGGTGGCGTCGTCGCCGGCTCGCCCCCCCCCCTGCACCACAACATTGCACAGAGAGTGTCTACGGCCAGCCGCCCACGCCGCCCCCTCTAGAGCACCTGCAGGACGCGCGTGCAGGCCCCGCACCGCACCTGCACCGGGGCATCTGCCCCCCCCCCCCCGCGCTCCCCTGCGCTACGCCATTCTCTCTCATCCGCTCACATCTCTCTCCTCCGGTATGCTATATGATCCGCGACGGCCAAGCCAACTCGCCGAGAAATATTATCAACGCAACAGTTTGGGATCTTCCATATGTTTTCGTCGCGGCCAGGGGGGAAGGGGAGGAGGGTAGGGGGGCGGGATTTGCGGCGGAAAGAGAGGGGGG